TCTCTCTCTCTCTCTCTCTCTCTCTCTCTCTCTCTTTCTCTCTCTCTGATTTCGCAGAAACGCACTGCCATAGCACTTCGTAATTGAGTGGAATCCTTTTTAGGGCGCCAATGTTTCAATTTCTGCCATTCGAGAGCCTTATCTAGAAAATTAAGGGTATTTATGAGCAATTGTAAAGACCATATTTTCCATCAACGCTAGTAAATAAAACTTAATATATTCTAAACTTACCAATAATCGCATCTACTCCAGCAGATTCTAGAACTTTTTTAATAGAACTTGGGTTTGCATAGGCTTAACGACCCTTTCTTCTTGGTAGAAGACCAGACACAGTACACTGAAGAAGCGACTCCAATGTAAACACCCTCCAATAGACGTCTGACTGCTTTAGTAGCCGAGTTTGACTCCTCTGCAGCCTTGTATATCTTTGATATGCAGTATACGTCATCACTGATTAGGTTTCCCTTTGATGATATGATCCAGATGATGGTTTAATTTTGTTGGAACATTCACTAACAACGAGGCCTAAAGAACCAGCTCCAAATTCATCATACTTAAGTGATACAATTTCTTTCGTAGCAGGATTCAATGCCAATTGCACATTGTTAGCTCCAGTCTCCACTATTGTGAATATCTTCTCCAGAAGCCTTATTTTTACCTGTGGGCATATAAACTTTGTAATAAGTGTCCATTAAAGAACATTGCAAAAAAAACAGAAACATATATACCTTCACAATGTAGCAAAGCTCTTACAAATAATTTTACACTCATCTATCCCGAAACCGAAGTCGCATGTAAAAGATAGCTGGTCTTTCGTTAATTTTATCAATAACAGACAGATAAAGGAGAATGAAATACTCATTTCACTTGACGTTACTGCACTTTTCACGAACATTCCAAAAGATCTGGTACTTAAGGGAATAGAGAAAAGATGGAGTCACATTTTGAAAAAAACAGACTTGAATTTACAACAATTTTTATATGCTATTGACTTGATTCTATCCTCCACTAGCTTCAGTTTTAACGGTGCGATTTATGAGCAGATTTTCGGCAGCCCCATGGGGTCTCCTTTGTCTCCACATGTCTCCGACATTGTAATGGATGATCTGGAGACGCACTGCTTGAACTTGCTAGATATGATTTTTTTCAGATATGTTGATGACATCTTTGCGGTTGTCCCTAAACTTAAAGTTGACATAATACTAAGAGCTTTTAATAACTATCACCCCAGATTGAAATTCACATATGAAACGGAAAAGGACGTGTCACTTAACTTTCTTGACACAACGGTGATCCGAAATGGCAATACTTTGATAACGAATTGGTACAGGAAACCTACATTTTCTGGACAATATACAAACTTTTATTCGAATCACCCGTTAAAATACAAAATAAACACCATCACAAGCTTAGTTGACCGTGCTATTATACTCTCTGACAAAAAATTACATAATTCTAACATCAAAATTGTTAAAGATATCTTGACTAACAACTGTTTTCCAAAGTCAATCATTAATAAATACATTGCCAAAAGATTAAATTACCTTAAAACACGAAATACGTCTACCGAGGATAGTAAAATAATTTTTGATCCAAAGAATAGTATACCGTTACCATATGTGAAAGATCTGAGTGAGTCCATAAGTCGAGATCTAAAGAAAGTCAATATTAATACTCAATATACGGTCTCTAAAAAACTCGACTGCATAATAAAAAGAGGGAAAGACAGGATAGATGATCTTAATCAAAGCGAATTAGTTTATAAAATAAACTGCAAAGACTGTAATGCTGCGTACATCGGGCAAACGAAACGGCATTTATGCACGCGTCTCAGGGAGCACCAGAATGATATAAAGAAGAACGTCAGTAATCATTCCGTGGTTAGTTGTCACAGAACGTCATATGGACACGACTTCGACTGGAATAAACCAGTAATTTTACACAAGAAGAAACAGACTAAGAAGAGGGAAATAGCAGAAATTTTTTTTATAAAAAAATTCAACGATAATATAAATTTACAAAGAGACACAGAGAAGCTCAACGCTCTCTACGAACGTATTATAGAAGAGACATAATTTCCCACTTCTTACTCTGTTCCCCCCCCCCCCCTCTTGATCGCTTTAAGCGGTACTGTTTTGTTGTTCTCCGTGTCCGCACATTAACAGTAACATCTCCGACTTGACAAGTTCTTTGACGATGAACGATCAAATATGCCGTGTCAACGGTCTTTTATATATTGTAATTCTCAACGAACAAATTATGTAAGCACTTTATTAATATTAATTGTGGACTATATATGTTACATGTCGTAATTTTTATTTTTTATTCATTAGTTTTAGATGTGGCGTAGCAGGCATTATGCCTAACTAATTAATAATTTGTACTTGTGACGCTTGAAAAGGACCTAAACCCGAGGTCGAAACGTAGCGTTCTATTTAATAAAATTGGCCAGTTGGGTCGAATAAAGTACACCAAAGCTGAATATATGTATACCTTCATTCTGAGAAAACAAGAGTGACTGAAGGTTTTCTTCAGACAAAGGTATGGATGAATTTAAAGAGGCTAGCTTTGTAAGAACCTTTATATCAAGCATGGCAGCTATAAGCGAGCCGCTACCTGTAAAAAAATTAAAATTTAGTAAAGAAATAATAGTAATAGTTATGATGCATAAAAGTTTTGCAAGAAAATATTATCAATCTCTTCCTCAGATCTACTGGATAAAGATATTTGTTCAGCTTCTTCATCCTGCAAAATGAGTGAATATTATAACCTTTCAGTAAAAATAAAAGATAGAATTTTTTACATAGAATTGAAGCAACCTTAATCTGAATCTTTTGCTCTTTATTCTTTTCTGCAGAGTCACTCTCACTCTCACTACTGCTGTATATTTTTTTTTTCTTCGATTTTGTTGCAAAGCAACTTGTTACAATCACTCTCTTCCTTTTCAGTGTATTCTGCAGGAATATATAGTCTTAATAAGCTCTCAATACAAGGCATTCATGATTATATTATTATATTATATTCATGATTATATTTGTTGTAATGG